TCGGGGAGAGATAGTATTGGTGCGGTGCACAAGGCTCGTTTGAGCGTTTGGAACGCTCTCTCTTGTTTCTCTTCCCAGTCAAAGGCCACGCCTTTCTGGGTCAGGGTTGTAAGAGGTTTCGCTATTCGGGAGAAGTTCTGAATGAATCTGCGGTAGTAGCCAGCAAGACCTAGAAATTGACGAATTTCTGTCGGCGTCTTGGGTGCTGACCAGTTCTCGATGGCTTTAATTTTGGATGGGTCCACGTGGATTCCCTCTTCGCTTACCACGTGTCCTAAGAATTCGACTCTTCGGATCCAAAATTCACATTTCGAGAACTTTGCATAAAGTTTCTCCGTTCGTAAAGTTCCTAAAACTAGTCGTAGGTGATCGCCATGCTCTTCCTTACTTCGGGAGTAGATTAGGATGTCGTCAATGAAAACGATGACGAACTGATCCAAGTAAGGTCGGCATACTCTGTTCATCAGGTCCATGAAAACTGCTGGCGCATTGGTCAATCCGAATGGCATCACCACGAACTCGTAGTGTCCGTAACGAGTTCGGAAGGCTGTCTTTGGAACATCTTCCTCTAGCACTCGTAACTGGTGATATCCGGATCTTAGATCAATTTTGGAGAAATAGTTCGCCCCTTGCAGTTGGTCAAATAGATCGTCTATGCGAGGCAGAGGGTAACGATTTTTGACCGTCAGTTTGTTGAGTTCTCTGTAGTCGATACACATACGAAATGATCCGTCTTTCTTCTTAACGAACAAGACCGGTGCTCCCCAAGGTGAGAAGCTTGGTCTTATGAATCCCTTGCTGAGCAGTTCGTTAAGTTGACTAGATAATTCCTGCATCTCTGCTGGTGCTAATCGGTAGGGCGACTTGGCTACTGGGGTAGCTCCTGGGACTAAGTCGATTCGGAACTCGACCTGTCGTTGCGGAGGTAATCCAGGTAGTTCTTCTGGGAAAATGTCGGGAAAGTCGCTCACTACTGGAATGTTCTTGAGTTCTTTCGTTTCGAGGTTCGTGTCGACGACGTGAGCAAGGAATGCGTGGTATTCTTTGCGCAGATATTTCTGTGCTTGAATACTTGATATAATGCGAAGACTCGCACCAGGTTTGTCGCCGTAGACTATAAGAGTTTCATTAGACGGAAGGTTTAGTCGGACTGCTTTCTCGAAGCACATGATGTCGGCGCGATGAAGACTCAACCAATCCATGCCGATGATGACGTCGAAACTTTTTATTGAGACCGGCATGAGGTCGATTGGGAATGAATGGTTATCTAGGGTTAGGATACATCCTAAGTATATGCTATTGGTGTTTTCTTTTTGCCGTTAGCCATTTCTACTGTGAATTGTTCTTTAAGTGCGTGTGGTTGTGGTTTAAGCATGCGAGCAAATTTGTGGTTTACGAAGCTTCGCTCCGCTCCACTATCGAACAGAATGCATGCATAGGAGTTATCGAGGAGGAACGTACCAGTCACCACTGTCGGGTCAGCGACTGCTTCCCCGTGGCCTATAGCTAGTACCCTCCCTGCTCCTCCCGTATTTCTCGCTTTGGGGCAGTCCCTCTTATAGTGGCCTGTTTCGCCACATCCATAGCAAGTTGGGCTCGCGCCAGAGCCAGGGACTTGCGTGATCGGTTGTGCCGGGAATTTACAGAAACGGACGGTGTGTCCTTTCCTGTTGCAGTTAGAACACTGCATTTCACGGCAGGGGCCGTTGTGGTGGAAGTTGCATTTGTTGCACTTCGGCAAACTTCCAGCATACTGCTTCCCCGGAGCAGTAACAGCAGTAGGGGTTACCGCAGCATGCACTGCCACGATTTGCTGTTTCTTCGAAGCTCGCTGTTTCTTCTTCTCATCCCAGAACTTCCGCTTGTTGCCCGCGGGTTTGGAGGGTTCTGGGATGGCTTGGGTGGTTGTGGTTACGGGGGTCTTGACTCCATGGTCAATGAGTCTTTTGCCAAACGCTTGGCACTGTCGAAGGTAGCGGGGTTGGATGCTAAGACATTCCCCTGGTAAGGAGGCACTAGCCCCCATACATACCTTTCGATCTTTTTCCCCTCAGTGGGAACCATATTGGGGCATAGGGCCACCAGTTCGCTAAAGCGGGCAGTGTAAGCGATCACATTGGTGCCCTTCATGGTCAGGTTCCAGAGTTCATGTTCTAACTTCTGGACTTCGCCCCTCGGGCAGTACTCCTCAGTCATGAGGTCCTTCATCGTTTCCCAGCCCATGTCGTTAGCCACAACGAGAGTTAGGGCTTTGACGTGGCCGTTCCACCACGTTAGGGCTTTATCCTCGAAGGTGCATGCGGCATATTTCACTTTGAATGCAGCAGGGCACGAAAGATTTCGAAGACTGATTCAGTCTTCTCGAACCATTGCGAGAGAGCAATGACTCCGCCGGTGCCATAGAAAGGCTTCGGCTTGCAGTTTGTAAAATCCTTGTAGGAGCACTCCCTTGAGCGCACAGGGATTTCGAATCGGAATAGATTCCACAGGGGTTCCACCTCTGCTGGCATCAGTAGAGTGATACTGTGCCATGGCAGTTGCCACTGCTGCAGCTACGGCAGCATTTAGGGCTGCTGTATCAATGACCGGAGGTGGTGGAGGCGGTGGAGGTGCAGGATTATTCCTTGCCCTGGGAGATTTGCGAGGAGGCATCTTTCAACTATATGTTTATAAAGATGAGAAAAGTGGTAAGAATCAATTTGTAAGTAATGTGTGAATGACACATGGACTAACTAACCATAGCCCAACAATTGAATGAGTGTTTGTGTTCATAACCAGAAAGATGTGTAGGAAAACCCAAATGTAAAGATTCATCCCACAGAGTAGGTAGTTGTCAACAATACTGGTATTACTGATGTAACGAGTTCAATGAAAATTGACCTAACAGTAGGTCTTACATCATACCATACAGAAAGTTTGACAGTTCTTAGATTCCTAATTAGAGTACTGAAAGTTAGGAATATTTTACAGATAAGTGCTACTTAGAGCACAGATGTTAAAAGGCTAATCCTTAACCCAAAAGATAATGATGTACTAGACATCATCTAACGGCGATGAGTATTCCTCGGGAGAACCCTGAGGTCTCTCATTTGCCGTACCACCTCTTGAAGGTGTCGTTCATGAGCCCTTTGACGAGCTCGAAGTTCCATGACTTCAGCTTGAGAGGCAACCAGACGTTGCTGCAGAGTTTCATTGGTTCTCCGGGTCCGTTCCATATCTTCTTCGAGACGGCGAATGCGGACTGTGTTGACACCAGAGTTGGCATCAATCTCCACGACCCGGTCGATGGCTGCTCGACCTTGCTCGACATTACGAGCTATTCTACGGATAAGGACAGGTAGAGCTCGGTCAGCAGAGCCACCATCGTTGACGTTGTAAAAGGTTCGGTCCCCAAAGTATGGTAAGGGTTGACCCTGTTCGTCACTCCAGCGATTCAAGTTATGTACCCATAAGGGAGTGGGACCTAGAAAAGCTGGTCGAGGGTTGTTGTTCGGGGCCTGACCTACTGGAGGTAGGTTGTTGACTTCGGGCTCAGAGTCTGATCCATCTGAGAAGCCTTCAGCTTGATGATCATCCAACGGGATTGGGTGTTCATCGTCAGACTCTGCTTCGAGCCATCCTGCGTTGCCTTCATTTGGAAAGTACGGGTCGCCGTGATGGAATCCAGCCATCTAAATCTACGCGAGAAGAGAGGTATAAAGATATAGTATACAAGTAGTTGGTAGTACAAAATACACCTATAGTATTTTAAGTTTAGGTTCTATTGAATCTTCTTGTGGTATTGTTGGTAAGTTTTTAGACTTGTTAACACATCACAACCATTCTAGAGCATATGCTAATCACTCCTCGGACCAGCATAGTTGATCAGGCTATGCCATTCCCAGGACTGACCATATATCCCCGAGCTTACCTGTGATATTTAACAAACGTAATACTTTTGTTCTTGTCGTTGTGACACTGGTTTTAGTATGAATGTAGACTAGTATACTTAATTAAATATTTTAGTATTTTAAGTATAGACTCTTGGTCAGAGTGTTTTAATCCCAAATGGGTTTATAGTTTAGTATATCTTTTATGGGTTGATACACTTGATTCACTATAAACAATGCTCTGATACCAATCTGTCACACCCCAAAACCAAGAACGGCGGAAACGTTCTGG